GGCACTTTATATAATATAAAAATTTATATAAAACTACTAACTAAATAACTACTACTACTAAATAATTTCCTGTCTCATTTAGGGTTGTCACTATAGCCTCCATTATTTTTTCCTTTATTTTTTTTGGAACTTGCTTACAATTAAAAAAATTATTCCCGGCTTAATAGAATCTTCCAGGTTAAGGATTACAAAATAACTACAAAATCAAAAGTCAACCAATACGGAAATATTTCAAAAATATCATAAAAATGTTACCAGTCTTAAAAAACTATAAACTACGTGTATCAAATAGCATTAGTCTTAATCAATAACAGTAGGGCTACCCTTATCAAGTAAACTGGAGTCGATCCAGCGCACTTACAACTAATCGAGCGATATGTTCTGAAGTTTGACAGCCCTGCGCGGATTGTGCTAACTTTGAGGATCGCTTCCGTACACGTGTTGGGCACAAAAACTTTGACAGCCGCTGTGTTACGTTGTATAATGTAATAGTTTCATTTATTATATCACACTATATTCATCCACCATAGAGGCGTGAAAAGATGAAAGGGAGTTACTTATTGTACACAATTGAATGCGTCATTTTAACCAACTATAATTTTGACTTGACTCTTACGTTTTGATTGGAGTCTTTCGATCTTTAAGCTAGTCTACCGATAATGTCAAAGTGCAGATTTTTATCTCACTCAAGAATTCATCTCAACTAAGTGTGGGAGAGCCATGCTTCGACACGAATGAGCCGGCTCGACCAAATTGATACGGCTTCACAGAAAACCGACGTGAAACACCGCTTGCATTGTGCTTCGTCGTGTCAGTACAGTTACCGGAGGCCCAATTACCTCCCCCTCTTCCCTAATCTCCCAACTCTCTGAATCTCCAACAATCCTCAAATTCCTAATCCTCAAAAGGCCGATAACACACTTGAAACGCCTCTGGTGTTCCAGGTGTCTATGGGCGACACCGATTGCTTACCATGAAGTGATCCGTCCGGTCGTTTACAGGCTTATCCCATAAAAAAATTGGTGTACTTCCAACCACACCAATATCACACTTAGAAATGTAAATAATGTATCATCAAAACCAAAGTCAAAATCAAAGCATTTATTTCAATTAAACCATAGTTTGGTACTTTTGAAACGTCAACAAATACAAAATACATAATAGTCTGTCAGTCAGTCCGTCAGTGAAACTAGGTGAAGCTAGGTATATACCAAAATATTTTACCATTACCCAACCTCACAAAACAACCAATTTTAAATTCAAACACCTGAAAAATAACACAATTTTATATCTCCATCACAAACCAAAAAACTAGTTGTTGACAACAAAAAAATGTATGTATGTATGACAGCCCTAAGTGATTCGTTTGAACTTTAGTTGCGGCGTAACGAAACTACTTGTAACACGTGTCGAGAGCAAAAAGTTTGACAACCGCTGCTCGCCGCCCTTTTCACAAAGTGTTACGTGGCGTACGTACGAGAGGTACTTAATTGGTAGTACTACTGATGTACCTGCGGTTTTGCCTGTGATAACCAAATTTCAAATTACTCGGACAAACATATCAATTGCTTTGGCATTATGACTCATAACTGGCGAAAAATAAATATTCTTCATTACATATTCCTAGAAAACTATTGACAAAGCTTAGCATATTTGTGATACGTCTAGACAGGCGTATAAAGGTACTATTGGAGTTACACTGAAAAAAGGCAGATACTAAGAACATAATGATCGGTGTATCTCCATGAGACTAGATACATATTTTGACTGCACGGTTGGTACGGTGGCTGGGCAACCGGCTGCCGTGCAACGTGTCGCGGTTTTGATTCCCGCACGGAACAACACTTTGTGTGATCAACAAATTGTTGTTTCGGGTCTGGGTGTCATATGTATGTGAACTTGTATGTTTGTAAACGCACCCACGACACAGGAGAAAATCCTAGTGTGGGGCAACGTTTTTTAAATAAAAAAAAATTAAAAAAGAAGCAAAAGATACATTAAAAAAATACTAGTAAGGTTCTTCACAGAGTTTAAACATGTTTGTTATTATATTACTATAACTACCTTAGACAATTTTACTTTCATACATAATACAGGTACCAACCAAAAGTTGTGATCTAAATACCTATTAGTGTCCTAGGACATTTTATGGTTGAGGACATCAACAAAGTTCCTAAACATGTAGTTTGCTGTCCGAAGTTAGGATTTGATGGCCAATAAATAGACTCTCCTGGGTCTTATAACATAACTGACAGTATGTGGTTTGGTATAGCTGAAGCTCATAAACTATGTTTGTGTATAGATATGATACTAAGATATAATATTACGATGTGATATGTATATTAGGTAGAAAATATTAAATTATAGAAAAAGAACTAATTCCAAATGTAGGATTTTTTACGCGTTACTTTATTGTGATATTTATTATCTACAATGTAATAGACAACTAGCACGATCTATCTAGGTATTGTTAACCTGTTCAGGTTTTAAAATCACAGTAACAGCGTGAAGTTATGAATTTTGCTAGTTTCAGATATCAAAATGGTCAACCTGTGACCCAAAATACGTACCTTCAAAACACATATTTCAAACTGTTACAAACTTCCCTAAACATTTTAAAATATATTTTACTAACTTTTATACCGGTGAACCAAACCAGTAAGACATGGTAATCGCAAGGAATAAAATGAAATCCCAAGTTCACTGGCTCGGAAATATAAATTACGTTACCATTTCTGCATCGTCACCAAAAACATGATTAAAGTGGGCTTCCTTGCGAAAAATGACCAGAAAAATTCCAAAATGGACGATGGAAATCGTGTCCAATGTCAGAGAAGACATCGGTGTAGAATAGATTTAAAATATTATAATTCATTACTACGATTTAAACTAGCAAACACCGCGAGGACACAGGTGACCGCAACCTATTGTTTTTTAATTGTGTCTATAATGACGATACTCAAAGGGTTAATACGTACGTACGGTTAAGACGTAGATTAAGTCAATAACTAACCACTAAGCAACGGCAATTGTTCACCAAAGAGAAATTATTTAGAACTTTATGCAGATTCCTCTTTATATCTCTTGATATCATCGTCAAACGTAAGCACCATACATCAAGCTTCGATTTCAAAGCCAAAAAGCCAACTACATCTTTCTCCAGTAACCGCGAGCGATTCAATGAGAAAAAAAGCGAGTGGTAGTAAGAATTGACAGTAAATTAAATAGACTTCAACCTGGAAGAAACTTCCGTTCAGTAAAAATTACATTTCCCAGACGTTTTTTGTGCTAGACTTAAACTAAGTGGCGTTCAAACAATTAATATCTTATTAATAAAGTCAAAGATGGCGAGAATACTTAATTAACTAACTAACGGCTGGCGTAGAACAATGTCGTTATAGAATCTTCATTGTTATTTTAAAGACTAGCTGAAATGAAGAAAAATGTATGTTAAATAGAAAAAGAAAAGTGCATTGGAGCGAAGGAATTGCGAATATTCCAGCACATTTCCTACCGTTACACTGTAAGTATATTCCGGAGTTAATATTCAGGTCTTGTTGAAACAAAATGTTGTACAATGTAGTATTTGTGTTATGCACTGTGCAGTCTTGTGTTTTTAGTGTTTTCATTCTGTATATTTTGTGCAGACCATACAATGGCTAACGAGACACTATTAAGATAAATAAATTATCTTTTCCCTAATTGTATTGTCGTTCTCACATCAAATATTAAAAATATTGCCAAAGGCAGACTGTGAGTACCTAAACAGAGTAGCTAATAGTTCAATAATCAAACAGAAGAATCTTATAAAACTGAATGCAGATTTCACTATAAAATGTTATAGTTAATTCACAAGAAGGAGAGAGAGGCAAATAAAATAAATTAACAAAAATAATTCCGAAAATCTCATAAAACTGTCAACTACGCTCAAAATCAAAACACACCACTCAAGCCCTAACATTTGAGCTAAAAAGCTAAATATTAGGATGTTCGCGTGCCAACACAGCATTTAGTTCTCGTTCGTTCACTCGCTACTCGCTCAGTTACCAAAAGAGCTGACATTTGAACTAATGGTACATTAGTTAGGGTTCAACTTATGTCGGTTAAGCGTCGCAGTTATATTTAACAGTAACGTGTTTTATTAACTGGTTGGTTCAAGACGTGAGTGAATATTAGCACGCGATGGAAGTTCGTAAGATGATGTACGTAATGTAGTTTGTATGTGCCAGTTTGAGGGGAAATTATTTGTGAACTGCAATGAACTGGTGTTAATGAACTCTGTGTTAAAACGTAGCATAGTTTTTAAAAAGAATAATGATGGACAGGATACGTGTTTCTAGCTCGTTCTTCTCCATTCGAAACTACACTTTGGAACGAGCGCCTAGCTTCACTGCCAGAAACACTGACGAACAAACAACTCAATTTTGACATTTCAAAAGTACCTAATTAAGAATTAACCCTTCATAACAAAAAATATTAATTTCAATGCACACAATACGATTGTTTTATAACTCGTCAGTCATGTAAAATCGGATTGGGACTAAACTAACTAACTTCGACTCTGACAAAATAGCGGAGGATTTGCACTCAATAGTTTTGTGTCGACAGTCAAAGGCTTTAAACGTGTAGGTAAATAAATATGAGATAATGCGTCTGAGTCATTACTCATTATGACTAAAATAGAGAATCAATATAATACTACATTATTCTATATGACCATGTGTCTTGATATGAGTATCAATGAAATACATAGATTTGAGAAGCTTAAAAATAGAAGTTCTCAATATTTTTCTATCTTGAGTAATTCTATTATTGTCATCTGTTGTTTCTCTATTATAGTTTCTTAATTTAATCCTTTTTTCTGTACTGCAGAAGGCCTCAAATAATTTTAAAGAACGGTTGGGTAAATTAATAATTGCCAAGTTGTTATTCATCTCCTAGAATCATATCATCTAATGGAAGGTTCCATGATACCCGTTATTTAAAGGAACTGCACTGACCTCGCTCGCAGAACGCCCCCTCATAGTCTCCATCCCGGCACTCGCAGATCGGTCCGTCATCAGTACTGATGCACACGCCGCCATGTTGGCAAGGATCACGGCGTTCACACGCATCTCCACTCGCATTACTGATCCTTGGCGTCTAGAACAAAATTAAAATATTATGTCATAAAACTTAAGATGCCATGTGATGATTCTAAAATAGTATTTTAATATTCCACCCCTGCTCTTCGAATGGGTATTGTAAAAGCTGACTGCTGACTAAGTAACTACACATTTAACAAAGAAAGGGGTTTAACTGCCGTGCTCACTGGTAAATCTAAACTAAGAGTTCTTGATTTCAGTGATTTCAGATTTCAGTGGCTCCGCCTGCTATGTGTGGAAATTATAGTAACACTAAAAACCCTCGTTTGTGTGGTAGAGTAGAGAATTTAACAATAATTCTTTCATAAACTTCGTTTAAAAGAACCAACTACAAGCCTCTCTTTTTTGAAGTCGGTTAAGTAATATACTAAATATAACAAAAACTTTTCTGAAAACCGCATCAATATAGTTTCAAAGTTCAGAGTTTCAGACAATCGCGAGATTATCGTTCACATACATACATACTTACAGGTCAACAGAGTGCCAAGTACGAATAACTATCGCATTCGTAACGTAATAGTATCGAGCGCGTTCGGCGTTCTGATTGGCCGGCTCAAATGAACCAACCAATCAGAATGCTTAACTCGCTCGATACTGTTACGATACGAATGCGATAGTTATTCGTGCTTGGCACTCAGAGAACCTCCTTTTTTTAAAGTTGGTTAAATACTTCGGTTTTTAAATAAATCAGTGGATGCTACATGCATGATGCTTAAAAGATTTGTTCATCTGGTCATAATAATGTACAGCATGAAAGAAATACAATCATCTTTCTTTGCGTTATGAGTTTATTATAAATCCTTTTCTTTACAGACAAAATAATGATAAATTTAAACCACAAGCATTTGATTGTAGTCACTTAATTCCAGATATTTAAATTAAATCTTCTTAGAATTTGGTAACGTCTGAAATAGTACCACTGGCATAAAATGGACATTCCAATCAAGCAATCCTGGATTATCAGAATAGAAAACCAGAAATAGGTTGTTATTGAGACCGCCTTTACCCCTAACTCGTGTAGGCGTTGATATCGTAGACGTTACGTAGACGCTACGACGTGCTACGAAACCGCTACGAATTTGCTACGAAATTTCATTGATATCTGTACCGACTTGATGCGTCGCGTGGGTAGTGCCTACGTTCAACACCTACGCTGAACCAACAACCAAGCTAATATTATTTTATTAATTGAGTACATTATGAGATAAATTGGGATACATCCCACCTGAAGTGGAAAGCCCTTTCTCCTATATTAGTGTTAAATATAGTTATGAATCTTTTATAAATATTTGTGTAGAAAATAAAGGTGAAAATAATATAAAGGTCAACCAATAATGAGATTTAACAGTGATATTGTTGATGTTGCTGAATATTTTTACATTCTACCTTCTTTAATATAACATAACATCACGCCTGCTATCCCCGAAGGGGTAGGCAGAGGTGCACATGGCACACGGCGCTTAATGCCACTATACAATGTAATACCCACATTTCACTATTTATATTATGAGTCCCATGTAATAGGTGGTGAGCCTATTGCTATGCCACAATTCCAGATTCTGTGCTACTACTGAGATATATTTTAAACCCAGTAATACTTTGCCCGACCCGGGAATAGAACCCGAAACCCCTTGGGCAGTATACATTCAAAACGATCCAAAAACAAAGGTACTACAGTTCTACTACGCCACAGCCCTTAGGATACTTGATTATACTAGATATTACCTCGTTATGTGTACTTATATTAAAATTACGCCCCATCACTTGTATGTGTGGCCGTAAAGGAAGCAATTAACTGGGTTTAATCGGCATTATATGAAGGTCTGTGCTGGATGCCTGCTGGGTTTTAATGTTATTCTATGTATATATAGTTATGTCTATGTACTATAGAAAATAGTACGTTGTCTATATTATCATCTTTTGTGAGATCACTAAAAATTAAAAGTACCCTTAACCGACGAGCATGCATGAAAAGATTGATGACTGTTAATGAAGCGAAAGAGGTATGTAAGAATCGTAGTAATTGGCGTTCCTTAGTCTCTGCCTACCCCCATGGGAGACAGGCGTGAAGTTATGTATGTATGTATGTATGTGAGATCACTAATACATATTTTTGTTTATATATAATTATTTTAGATAGAATAAAAAATGTTGGAATTTTTAGCAGGTTTCAGCCGGCTTCATCTACATTAGATGTGATAAGTATACCAAGTACCAACAAATGTAGATTCAGTGCTAGAATGCATTCTCTTATAGTCAAACTCAGAGAGATGTAGAAATGTAGGTATATATGAATGAGGCAATTTTTTTTTTGTGGCATAAGACGGCTAACGAGCAGATGGATCACCTGATGGTAAGCAATCGGCGTCGCCCATGAACACCTGGAACACCAGAGGCGTTACAAGTGCGTTACCGGCCCTTTGGGGATTAGGAGTTTGAGGATCGTTGGGGATTCAGGAATTGGGGAGATTGGGGAAGGGGAGGGTAATTGGGCCTCCGGTAACCTCACTCACATGACGAAACACAACGCAAGCGTTACTTCACGTCGGTCGAGCCGGCCCATTCGTGCCGAAGCATGGCTCTCCCACACTTGAATAGTATACATATAGGCAATATATGAATAGTATACATATAGGCTACGAAATAACCACACATTTTTACATGTATTATAACGTTCCGTGATCTAAACACTTTCTATATTTTATTTTACTTCTGTGTAGAAACATTAATAAAACTCGGAAGTTACAGCTAGGTACAATAAAGGTAAGATAATATCAAGTTTACACTTACTTTACTTCTAAATGTTTTGATACAAAGTGTTACACTGTATGTCTTTCGGAGACTGTTCCATTGTATCTTAGTAGCGTTCTAAATTATTATATACATACATAGGAATATCAACTGACCTGCATTTCTACAAATAAATAAAATTAGAGAGTCTGTTTGTAATATTAACATAACCACTTTTTACAACATACATATACACATATCGATATAATTTTTTTTTTACTTTTTGTCTGTTTGTACTAGCTACATTATAAATCTCTGGAATGGCTGAACCGATTTTTACGGGACTTTTATTAGCAGGTGGCTGATGTACTAAAGAGTAACATAAACTACTTTCATTTTAGACAAACGCGGACGAATTGTGTGATTCATCTAGTACAAAATAAAATGCTACTTTATGTATACATACAGAAAATACACACATCTAAAGAGTAAAGATATTATTATAGGCACAGTAATCCAATCACGAGTCACATACTAACATACATTCTTTTGAATGAATCACGCCTTTAAGGAGAAGAAATTACAGATCGCCACTTTCAGATACTTCTATAACTTGCATCACATTCACACACCTGGCCATTCAAGGTACAATTTCTAATGACTTTCTCATTCCCAAATTGCCAATGGACTTTATAGAAATTATTCCTAGATAGCTTGCTAGCCAAAACCGCAGGAAACTAGTTAGAGCTGGTGTCTGCTTATTATCAGATTAAAGTTAGTGTCTGGCTGCAAGATTAACTAGATGGTTGTGTAATAGGCTTTAAAAGCAGCGTAGTGGCAAATTAATTACTGGTTTTTTTGGTAATTGATATTGTGAGTTGGGCAAGTTGTGTAGAAGAGCCATGTATCGCCACGAATGGGCCGGCTCAATTGTGATACCACGGTCTCACAGAAAAAAGATGTGAAGCAACTGTTGCGTTGTGTTTCGTCATATGAGTGAGATTACCGGAGGCCCAATTCCGAAAATCCGTAGACAATTCAAAACTCTTTCGTATACTATTACTGAGAATTTCATAATCAACAACTTTAGTCTTCAACTTTGGTAAAAAATCAATTTCATATCAACCAGCGAAGCATTCAATAACTCCTCTATCCTCTATAGGATTCATTGCTACTGATAGAATATTTAGCTTCATTCAAAAACTGACAAAATCCTTCTGAAACAGGCGATTAGTCATAATCTCCGATACCTTATTAAAACTGCGACTAATCTCCGCTGACTTCAAAGCCCCACACTAACGACAGAGTTATCTTGGCATATTAAGGTCTAGCGTCTAGACCACCGTCTAAGACCTAAGTCTAGATCTATACCCAATTACTGGATAATCTACTTGTTAGACTTAAACCATTTAGGAGTGGTCTTCTTAAAATTATAGTTACGATAGGCATTAGAGTAAATCGGTTTTTATTGGAGTTAATAGTATCAAGTTCCTTATGATTGACTGATAAATTGAGAGTTATAACATCATAACATCACGCCATTTTATTCCCGAACGGGTAGACAGAGGTGCACATTACGGCACTTAATGCCACTGTACAATGTAACACCCACTTTTCACTATTTATGTTATGAGTCCCATGTAATACGGGGTGAGCTTATTGCCATATACCGGGTACAATTCCAGACTCCGTGCTACTGCTGAGAATTTCTTAAAAACCCAGTAAGACTTTGCCCGACCCGGGAATCGAACCCAAGATCCCTTGCCTGGCAGTCGCGCTTGCGACCACTCGCCCCACGAGGCAATCTTTTAACAGACGACGCAATATTTTGATCACAATCACAAAAAATGTAGCTCTAGACCAAAGTTTATTTATTTTTCTCACATCGCGTGGTTGGTAACACTAACTAAAGTAAAAGCTCGTGTTACGAAAGGCTACGATTATGTAATTTGTATGTTAGAAATTATAATATTTGTAGCAAACGCCCGGAATGGAACCCGTGACCTTGCACTGCTAATTGTACTTACTGGACATGAGCTGTTGAAAATAATGAAAATATTTTTATAATTATATTATTAAGTTAAGGTTACGCAACAATGTTTATAGAGAACAAGGTTTTAACCGGATCTACACAAAGGGCAGATTTTTTAATCCTCAGTTAACTGTAACTATAAAATTGGAAGGATTGCCAACTACATACATATGTCTCAGTTAAAATTTATCTGGCGTTGGCAAAATCAGCCCTAAAAGGTATACATGGAATTACCA